CATTCTCTTCCTCCTCTGAAGAGTTGCTAGTTGTATGTTTTTGGGATCTTACATGAAGCTATGTGCCTCCCTGCGTGGGTTAGGGTCACAACAGAGAATAAAAGGCTGAGCAGATCTCTTCTAAGTATGCTCATAAGAGCAATATGTGTTGCACAGATGGGAGTAGGATCTGTAATCCAAGAAGGTGGCCACAGATGCCCTTTCTGTGCCTAACTTCAGTTGTGTGAGCACCCACCTGAAAGGGAGTTGGACTTGGGTCTCTAATATTTCATACAAGGTGGGACAATAAGAATCACCCAGGGGTTAGAACACATGCTGGACTGCAGATCCATTTCCTGTGTGATTCAATGTAGGAATTTGAACCAAGTTTCCCCACCTCAGGTTAGGCCAGGGTCCTGGGAGGTAGGCTACGTGGTTTCACATCCCTTCAGGGAGAAGAGAAGATTCAAATCAGCTAGGGGGGTGTGCTGATCCCTGAACTATGTTACGGGAGAGGCACCACCTCTTGTTTCATGCAGTACAGCGTGTGACAGTTGTTCGTAGTTTCAGGGCCAATGTAACGACGTAACCTCAACTCATCCCAGAACACAGAGCTGTCCGCCTTTGCGTCCCCTGGGCCAGCAGTCTTCCTTGGTTTCTGAAGCTGCCGAGGTGCTCTTAGTGCAGAGAGGTCCTTCTGGTTAAGTCATATGCCCTTCCATTTCAATGGTAGAAGAGTCTGTATACCCCTATACCCTTGTTCCTGGGCCTCTCTAGGTTTGCTCTGCTCTGTCTTGTAGCAGGGCTTTAGGTCCACCATACAGGGATAGCGCATGTAGTACAGGTTCAGCCATCAGACTTGGTCTGGGCTTGATAGTCTTCAAAGACCTTTCCTGAGCTTGGTAGGACAGTAGACCATCGTTGCCTGGCCACCATAGAGCATCTCAACATTGGTGGCTCCATGGCACTTGTGACAGCAGGCGCTGTAGTCACACAACCCTCTCCTGATCTTTCAGCCATGCTGATAAGGTGCTCTTCTTGGGTATGCCCTAGAAAGGTGCTTTTCTTGGGTATGCTTGATTCAGGGGAAGCCAGAAACAAGTGGGGCTGAGCCTAGGCTTCCTAAAAGGCAAGCTTACCTGTATTAGTCAGACCACCTGCTGCCCTGTTAGCTGCAAATGGAAAGTACCTGTCTGTTGAAAAAATGTGAATGATATAGGAAAACACCCAATGGTTTACCAAGAGATGGTTCAAAACAGCTCGCGTGCATGTCAATCCAGTAAGCTTTTCCTAAATTCATAAAGACGTTTTACTCATTTTGAAGTTTGTGCCTGTCAAGTCTTTGCAATAATTATATGCAGCATTTTTTCAAAGGACAAATGGCAAGAGTCAAGCAACCGCTTGCATGCAAAACCATCTCTGGAGAGGGAGAATTTCAATTCAGAGGCTCACACAAGCCTAACAACCTAGAGCTAGTGTGGTTAAGAAACAAAAGTTTCTGTAGCCAGAGGAGACGAGTTTCCAGTAAATATATACACTGGGGAACACACAGAAGTCGTAGCAGAAAGAACAAAATATTTTTAGTTCATACTTATCAAGAATGAGATTCATGTCTTTGAGGAGGATAAAGAAATAAAACGTCAAGAAAGGCCATAAAAAAATAAATCTTCATAAGATATGGCTGAGAGTCAAAAGGTGATGGTGTATGTGGAATAGCAGCATCTGAATCCAGGCCTGTGTTTTATTTAATAACAGACCATAACAAGCTGGTTGTACTGTTAAATCCCCCAAAATATACAACATCTTTATTTTATTAATAAAAGTTTGGCAAGAAAAGCCATGGTCTGGAACTCAGAGAGATGAGTTACAAGAAAGCCGCTAACTTTATCTGCGTAAGAGTTATTTGAGAGCTAACAGGGGAAAGTGATATTTTACAAAAGTGCGAGTAGTGTCTCCCTTTCCAGACTGCATTTGGCCTTGTCCTATGTTCCACAAGTGACTAACAGCATAAATGTTGGTAGTTTTTAATGCTAGATGCATTGTGAGTATGCAGTACCTTTCCTGTATTGTTAAAAAGAGAAAGATTTCCTCCTCCCTTTACTACTTAATGCAGATAGATGCAAAATTCAAATACTGTGTTTTTCATAAGTTCTCCTTTAAAGTGCAGCATATTTAAATTGCAGTTTGGCATTGTTTTTTTATTTCCTTAAATCTCTTGTACATTTTCCTAAATTTGACATAGTCCTGGAGATGACCATAAATTGCATCTGACTGGAGGGTCTGGTGGCAGTGTGGTGGGGCTACTCATGGCAGGGAAGCTCCTATAAAATGCCACGGTATTGCAACTTCCAGAGTAAGGCCAGGATAGGGCACATCAAAACCCTAGTTTCCACTGCCATGTGGGTGCTCATTGGTTGGAGAAAATCTAAGGGACATCAGACAGAAACGTGCCCCTGCTGAGGCATCAGGCAGTCAGCAGCAGTTCTCATCCGTTGTCCTCTCACAGAAGCTACAGCCATCGAGGCACTGAACACCTGGGTTCAGTCTTGCCTTTGGATTCTGTCTCGTTGGTCTAAAGCGGGGTTGGTAGGTCTTGGGCAGCCTGCACTCCTTCCTACCCTTGCCTAGGTGTACACGCTGAAAGTCTTGGCGTGATGGTCACATAAACCTCTTGCGCGTACACCATGATCCAGAGGATAGATGGTTACCAAGACATGGATTTGGAAGATGGTAGCTTTGATTCAGGCTGTGCTGTTCATATTTAATTTGGTGGGCTGGAACAGGTCCATTCTTCTCTTGCTAGCTCTAGTGGTGGGTCTCCCACATGTAGAGAAGGGCATCCCTGACATGCTGCCTCTAGCATCTCACTGGTGGAAAACCCCCACCAGTTTGATGCTAGGAGATTGCAGCAAAAAGCTGCACTCGAGGCACGGCTGCAGCACCACAGACCTGAGTAGGGAATGCTGCAGGCTGTGCCAGGCCCATTCTTCCTGCACACAACTCCTGACTTGGTGTTAGAGGCTCTCCTTGGTGAGGCAGCAGGTGCATGGCAATCAGCCCACTCTCAGCCTGCTCCCCAACAGGTAGCTAGTGCTGTATCAAGGCAGTGCTGCTGTGTCCTTTTGGGCTGTCATGCCTCTGGTGCAGGAGCCCTTTAGTGATGTAAACAAACCTTCCCTTTCCTGGTGGACTGACCTATGTGGAACTTGAGCAGATGTGATCCCTGAGCGGCCACATGTGGGAACAAATACACTTCCCGCATGGTTGGGCCCACTTGGAATGGGATAGCTCTAAATTTCCCATTCCTTTCCCTTTGCTCCCCTAAACCCCCAGACAGCTCTTGGTTGGGTACAGAGTTCCCTGCTCTGTGGTCTCCTACGTTACAGGAGACTCAAAGAAGGGCTAGAAGAAAAACTTGCTAAGGCCAGAGGCAGACGGTTAAAGAAGAGGATATTCCTTTTTGCTGAGCTGTTGACATTTTAGGGTGTCAGGCAACCCTCCACCTCAGATGCCAGCAGTGCAAAGGCAGGAAGACCGGGGCTTGTAGTTTTTCCCTGTGGCACTTTTTGCAATGGGAGGGTGCTTCTTGGAAGTTTGTAGCTTAGTATTATTTCAGTCTCTCCATTTACCATTCCTCCATCGTTCAGTAATGGCTGTCAGTGCCTCACTCCTGCTTCATAGGCCAGACCTTTAGGGCACCTACTTTTGCTTTTAAATTTCTTTATGTTGCTTTACAGACCATCTGTATGTTAGCCATGGGCCTGTTTTGTTTGGCTGCCCATTTGGCATCTCATGATCCCCCGATCTCCTTCACTAGGCAGTAATCCCTGTTTCCGCTTTGGAACAGGCTTTCTTTTGTTTAGCTTGGTGCCCTAGCTAGATCTCTACACACCTGGCCTGTGCCTCAGGCCCCTTCCTGCTTACCTTGCATGCTTTCTGCCTCCAGTATGTTTCTCCACCACTTGGCCTGCCCAGTATGCCCCCTTCCCCTGAAACTGCTTTGTCTGCTGTGTGAGTGTCATCCCTGGCCCTCTGCTTGGGTCTAGGGCAGTCCCACTGTGCACATGATGACCCCTTCACTTGGGGTAGGTCTTTCCAGGTTGCCAACTTCTCCAGTCCTGCACAGGCCCATAGCCAGGGACAGGTGCAGCCTCTTCCTGCTGGCTCTGATGGGTCTCTCCCATGTAAAGAAGGGCATCACTGACATGCTGCCTCTAGCATCCTACCCTTAGTTTTCTGTGGGAGGAGAAAATGGCTCCCACCCTTCAGGGGCATGGAGAGGGAGGGAGAAGGCTCTTGTACAGGGGCAGTAAGTCCCCACTCTGAGGAGGAGTCTCTTCACCAGACTGCACCCATGAGGCCGCTCCCTGAGGGGCAGCAGGAAGGCAAGGAAGTTAGCAGCTGGTGGCTGGGCAGGTCTGAGGGATGTGGTGCGTGGTGGAGAGCCTGCACCGGTCGGAGTAGCCTGCAAGATGAGGAGGGCACGGAGCAGGGTTTGGTCAGAGAGAGGGAGGGAGGAATCATAGTTGAAATCACAGACAGTGAGGGTTGGAAGGGACCTTAGGAGGTCACATCTAGTCCAACTCCCTGCTCAAAGCAGGACCAGCCCAGGAAGGAAAGGTTGGCCTGTAAAGATTACTAAAGGGAGAGGTGGCAGAGCCAGTATCACATTTACCCTGGGAGGTCATGCTGCTGGGAGTGTGGAGAGGCAGCCTGGCCTGTCTCCTGGTTCAGGCAGTCCATCCCCCTAGCATCTAGCCGTGCGTACTGTTGCAGCTGTAGCATGTGGGGCCTCTCCTCTGGACACGTGTGGAAACCCTGCCCAGCTCACTTCCTCGTTAGAAGCCAGTGCCAACCAGGGGTGCCACCAGGAAATGGGTTTGTGGCCTTGGGTCAGTGCTGAGCCAGTAGGGGTGTGCACGTTTGAGACCCCCACCCTGGCGGGTGCCATTATACACTACCTTCAGCAAAGGGAAAGGATTGGAAAGGCTACAAGCACCTCCTGGCAGGAGCCAGGGCAGCAGGCAGGCTAATTGCTTCCACTTTTCCCTGGTTACCTCCCAATCCCCTGACTCTTGATTCCAGTCTGCACCTTGTCTGCTCCTGATCCCCCTGGGTTGTGACCCTCTGTGCTCAAGCCCTGACCTCCCAGGTCCCCCTTGTACCTCTAATGCTTCCTGGTGCTCACAACAGGGGGGCTTCTGTAAGTCGAGATGGGGGCAGTGTAAGAGTGGCACTGGCTAGCTGTTCCATGCCTCTGGACTACCCAGAGCAGGAAGCTCATCACCTTTCCCCTTCCCGAGCACCCAAGTTTGGGTCACTCGTGGGTCAGCCTTGTGTGGGGTCCTGTTCTGAGGAGGGATCTCCATTCTGCACAGTTCTCCTTCACAGGCACCTGGCAATTTCTTTAGGCTTTTCCTTTTTCTGTATCCAGGCAGAAGTTTTTCCCCTCTAGTTTTCTCCCTCTCTGCAGACTCCCTGGCAGGGAGAGGACTTGTAAGAATAGGAGTCCGCAGGAAACTGCTATTTGAAAAAAAAAACGTGGCGGTATAGAAGGCCTGGCTGTGACTGAAGGGGCTGCTGCACATCACGTACAATCTCCCACCGTGCAGTAAAGATTGCTTCCACATCCTTGAACATGCTGGACCAGAGGAAACTTCAGCTTAAGGCTTCTCTTAAAATCCCCAACATACCCAAGGCTCTTTCATATCTTATTTACTCACGGTAAATCCCTGAAGACAGTCAAGTGCATTGTCAGGTCCAAGGCAGCCGCTGTGTTCAGGTGGATGTATCCAGTAGGTTGTGAGACCTCTAAACTGTTGAAAGAACTTCCTTCTACTGTTTTTAAGTAATGGTGCTATTATTCCCTCCTGATCTTTAGCGGTTCTCTTATCTCCAGCTTTGAAATGCAGGTGTTGCCTTGGCTGGATACAAATTTGGGGAGAAAAATTGACAGATTCTCTCTTGTTTCTTTCTTTCATTAAAACTCTTGGTCAGGTGGGGGAAGAAAGAGGAGGAAAAACAAAAATCAAACAATGCTACCCTCAAAGAAGCGGTGTTTTTCCCCTGGGTTCAGTAGTAATAAATGAATAAGTAGATAAACAAACAAAAACACCTATGGCCGGATCCTATTTCACCTGTTAGGCGTGTGTGTGACCTAGTGTGATCGTATCCCGCCCTGTTCTAATCCCTGAGAATCGGTTTCTGTTATCTTGGCCTTAAGACCTCATTGCAAAAGCAGCAAGGAGGAGGAGGACTCCCCACCTATTGCATTAAGTTGTTCATGGACTTGAGCGGGGTGGAATAGGATCACAGTTGGTACGACAGGATCTGCCCCAAAGGCCCCTGCTTGCTGGTGTCTGGTATAGGTTCTGTAGGCTGGGCATCTCCAGCAGCTCTTTCCGTCCTTCCATCCATCGTCCCACTCGGCTGTCTGGGTGCCACGTACCTGACCCCTCTATTACAGGAGCCCCTTCCCTAAGCACTGGGATTTGTAAATCCTCCACTGGCCCCTTCCATCCTACCAGGTTCATCCTCTTCCCATCTATGCCAGGAGACACGCATCTCCCCCTCCATCATGTTTGCTACTTCACTCTTTCCTCCTGGGAGATGAGTCGCTCAGACTACAAACAGATGTTGTTTCTGAGTCAGCAGCACATCTGAGCTGATTGATTGGCAGGTCCAGATGTTGCCCAGGGCTGCTGTTTTGTAGGATTGGGGCCCTGCTACTCCCAGGGCTTCAGGGCATGATCCTCTGGGTTGATGACCCTGGGAGCCTGGCCCCAACCTGAAGCACATGTATGCAAGCTACATAAACTATTAATAGGCTTCTCACACTAACATTTTTGGGCATTTGGGGCATTAACAAGGGCCAAGGATGTCTGTTTACGCATGTTTTGTGTCTACAAACAGATGTCACCAGGTGACATCTGCCTGGTGCATAGAATGACCAACTATTTCTCTGTCATGGCAGGCATGGCACTAGCAGTGCCCTCACCTTTTCTGCTTCTACCTATGGCATGTTATGGGTCTCCTCCATGTTCTGGGTATTGTGTCTTATGGTTTTGGGTGAGAGATTAAAGAGTTGAGTGGGGAGATTCCCTGAGCAAATGATTGCCTGTAAACACAGAGGTCGATAGACCAGGAAGCCCCTTCCATTTCTGTGTTCCTGTGACTCTCGCTAATGGTGGGGATGGGCAGAGATGACACAGGAGAATCCTCAGTAAAAGATAGTAACTGGATCCAGCCACCTGGTTTTTGACCTGCAGACAAACACAGTGCTGTTTGAGGCTGGGGCTGTAGGACATAGAGCCAGGAGTCTTCACAGGTCCCCCATTTTCTCCCTTTCCATTTTGCAGTTGTCATCACCTACTGACACCTACAGCATTTCCTGAGATATTGGAATTCATTAGGTGGGTGTTCAGAAGCTGTCATGGTACCAAAAGACATACAGGCAGAAATGCCACAAAAGGGAGCATATGGCCTTGCAGACTTTGGGGAATAGTTTATAGACTACCAGAATGGGTCAGTCTTTGGCAGAGTTTACTAGTCAGAATCGATCTTTTGCCTTCTTATCTCGGACACCCGGGTTGGCAGTCAGCGAGGCAGGTGGTGCTCTGAGCAGCTCACCCTGCCGGCACATTGTGAAGCTATAGAGTGAGGTTAAAAAAAATTAAGAGCTGATCCTCTGTGACTGGCAAATGTCATTTAAATGGAACACGGAGTACTAGGTGTCTACGACAGACGAAGAAGCATTGTGGGCAGGTATGTAAATGGTACCCTTTGTAGCAACTTACTAGACCTGTTTGCCCTGTGATTAGGTGGAGGAATTAATGTTTCTGGGAAAGCTTATGACATTGTGTCCGTTTCCTCCTCCGTTGAATCAGCAGTGCTGTGGTGCTTATTGCTGTGGGTTCTTTCTTCCTAGATTCTAGTAAGAAACTCAAGGATGTCTTGGAAGAGTTCCACGGGGATGGAGTCCTCTCCAAGTATAACCCAGAACAGGTAAGGGCCATTGTATTCTGAACTTCTGAAACCAGCATGTTACATATTCATCCCCTTCCATAAAACCTTACAGGAGTAACTGGGGTAAGTACATCCCGGGCCCATCCCAATATCCCCTTCTCAGCTGCTGTGTTCTCAGGGTGGAGTCAGGTGATTCTCACATTCTCAGGGTTTCATTTCCTTGTATATCAAGTATAACTACCTTAGCAGGTGCGATATATCCAGTGCCTGTGAGTCTGCTTCCAACGGCAGCAATAGCAGTGGTGAGCAGTGAATGGACATCTCTGATTTAGCTAATCTATAAGGTGCAAATCTACCCTGTCTTCTGAGTGACCAAACGACCATCTTAAAGCACAGCAAAAGGCAAAGGTGTTTAAAAAAAATCCTGTTCTTCACGCATTAATCAGTCTATTGGCACACTGGCCACTCTCTAAGGCTCACTGCACCCTGGAGCTGGAGAAGGGATGGCTGTTTTCAGACACCCCTACAGACCACATTGGCACTTACTGACAAAATCTCTGGACCATGCTTGGCTACTACCCGCCTCACTACTGCCACAGTAGCCCAAGCCAATTACTGTTTGTGCGTAATAGCCCTTTGTTCCAGTAATGCTCAGCTTTGGCAAAACAAGACTCATGGCTGGTTAGTGAAAAGCAGTAGGATCTTTGAAGCTGTCTTCTCTCATTGTCTTCCAAGTGTGCGCCTGGATGTTTTTACCAGGGACCTTTCTTCTCCAGTCCCACTGAATTGTAGAGGTACATTAAATATCCCAATGCCACAGCATAAGTAATAGTGTCTCGCAGTGCGTAGGTTAAAGAAATGTGTTCTTAGATTACCACGAAGCCTGTTCACCTCTGTCACAAAGAGGTGGGCAGGTCTCCCACCCCTTCTCATCAGAGATATTTGAGCTCCAATCTCAGCTGCTTGTTGTGATGCCATTTACCTAAACATCGATTCTTCCACCCCCACCTTCCCCTTCCTCCCTGTCTATTAGGGGACCAGTGTGCTTCCCTAATGCAGTTTTTCTCTCTTCATGCAAACACTTCTTCAGCTATTAGCAAAGCTGGGACAATGGCCCATCCTAGTGGAATAAGTATGGGGAAAGCCTTTGCTTTGTTACACCTCTCTCAGGAGGAGGTTTGTCTTTTGTTAGAGGATGCTTTTAGAAAGGCTTATGAGCATGCCAGTATGACAGAACCTATAGCAGGGGTCATAATTATAAATCATTAGAAACAAGGTGATTAAGCAAATCAGTGGGCTGCACCTGGCTCCGAGGCACTAAAAGCTACAGAGCTATTCAAGAACACAGTGGGAACCCAAATCGGAGTGCATGGGCTGACATTATGTGGGGCCCAGTCACAAAGGGAATTGGGGGAAAAACTTCTTGTCACCAAAGGTAATTATGTGTGGAAGAGAGCAACAAAGGTGCTGAGAGAGCTGTGGCTGTGAGCATATTGAGGGGAGAAGTAAACAGGCATTAGGAGGAAAATAGGACAAGGTCCAAATGCTGGGTTGTGGGTGGACCTAAGAGGTCCTCACAGCTTCCTGCCAAGCACGTCTATGGCTGTTCCAAGCTTGTGACATGGCCTCTATCCAGGAGCCTATTCTCCTGGCACAGTGGGGACTCATGTAGGTGTGAAGCTTTTTGGGAGAAATTAGGATAATGACTAATTACATTCAAATGTCTTCAAAGTGCAGAGCAGCCTGGGGGAAGAGGGGGTTGGCCCTTGGATAAAAATGGAAAAGGGCTGGTTTTCCTCCCGTATCTCTTTTTTTGGGAGTTTTAGTAAACAGAGTCCTTCTGCACTTACCTCTATGATTTACCAGGAGAAACATTCTTTGGCCCTTGCCACAATCTGCCCTTACCACATCCCCTGAGATGCCTGAGCATGTGGGTGAAGCTTAGTAGGCTTGCTCACCTCGCTCCCACCGTGTTGACCGGCTGGACTTACTCTTGGGGGTGGGAGGGATCTGCAGCCAGGAGCCTTCACTTGGCCCAGCTAACTCTTCCAGCTGGTTAAAAATGAAAATGCGCTTGGAAGACTTTGGCTCATAGGACACTTGACATCTCCCTCATGTGTCAGTTTGCAATGTATTATTTAACACTCTTCTTTCTAATGTGGCCGAGTTCCTTTGCCTTATTCCTGTGTCTCATTGGTCTTCCCAACACTTCCAAGTTCTGGAGGATTTGCAAGACTTATTAGTGTTTCACTTAACTGCAATTTTTAGGGTTTAAGGAGTGTTAATTAAGATTGGATTTAACACGGACCCTTTCAGCGTGCTGTTGGATCCCAGTCTCCCCCTACAACTTGATGCTGCTTGTTGCTACCTGTCACCTGTTATTCTCAATATTCAGTCACAATGGGAGGGGAAAGAAAGCTGAGGAGGTGCGGAGAGAACGTCTCTGAAGAGGCACAGCTGTACAGACAGCTGCTAAAGGCCTGAGCTATATCATAAGCTTGGTTTTATATATTTGTAAAGGCTTAGTTGTATACTTATAACCTGAGCAAAATAGGGTCCAGGAATGAAGCCCTGCAGCAAACCAAGAAGTCTATCTTGGGCTAGATTAAGGGCAGATAGGTGCCCATGTCTAGTATTTAGACACTGGCAACATTTGCAAAACCTTCCTCCAGCAGCTACTGCCTAAATCTGGAGACATCAAAAGTCCATAGTAAAGTCTCATAGGCTCCCGTGTTTTGTGTTGCCTAGATCTTGATAACACCATCAGCATCTACCCCATGCCTCTTCCACCACGGGCTCACAAATAAGGTGGTGGCTGGTCTCTCACATGAAGAACCCAACTCCGCAGGTGCATTTTGAGCACACAAACACTCATACAAGACAGCTAGGGGAGGAGGATCCCACCTTTACAGGGATGCTGAATGGTTAGAGCCCTCACCTGGGCTGTAGGAGACTTGATTTGACTCCTCTGCTTGCTCTTCCACACCTCTAGCAAGTCTCCGGACCACTGGGCTAGAGAATATTCTGAAAGAGAGGCTTTCCGAGTCTCTCCCCTGGGTCTCCAGGGTGCAGGGCCCTAATTACTAGGCTGTATTGGCTCTGGCCAAGTTGATGGAGGTGCCTCCTTCCAACCCAGAGTCAGGTGCTTTTGCACTGTAATGGGTTGGGCTTGGGTTCCTCCCCTTGCTCAGAATTTCCTACTGGCTGGATCTGGGGGTCTGCTTGCTCAGTGTACTAGCTTCTGGGAATCCCATTCATGGCCTGTCTTGCCCCATGGCTCTTAACAGGAGCCCAGGCACCAAACTCAGGGCTGTGAACTCCACTGGGCACCAGGGCACCTAACAAAGCCAAGTGATCCCACACTTAGTTCACTGTGGCAAATCTGGCCCTTTGGTACTGGACTAGCTGACCCCAGCCCATCAGCTTCCATTGCCCAATCATGATTCCTAGGTAACTTTTTTGATAGAGTGATTCCCTCTTCCCTCAATAGAGTCTTTTTATCTAAGGTATTGCTTGCTACTCACTCTAAGTTACCTGCAACTGTGCTGCCATAAAGGTCCTTCTTGCACCTTTATTATGCAGAGGTCTGAAAAATAGCATAGGTGAGACAAGAAAATATTTGGAAACTGGGGCTCTGGTGACTCACGCATTTGTGCTGGAGGGTATGTGCAGCAATGTCAGCAGAGCAGCACCGAGGTTTCTATTTATGTGCTGCAAACTCTGGTTGGAGCAGCAAAAGGCAACCAGTCCTGCAGTTCTGGGTGATTACAGTGTGCTGGTGATGGGAATGCCACCAGAGCACTTCCATCACTGGCAAAGTTAAATGATTGAAGGCACTGACTCATGCTTTATTGCTATCAGGGTGAGGAAAGCTGTTTTGCCAAGGGGAATACTCCGGTGCCAGGCTTTGGGTGGTGTGAACAGGTGCAATTATGGCACCTTTACTGGAGGTCTGCCAATTTATCTCTGCTGGGGGCCCCATCCTGAAAACCCATTTTCTGCACAAGATAGCGGATGTCTGAGCAGCGGTCAGAGGCTGCAGTGATGTGTGGCATAAATACCTACATAAATGCACCAGGCTCTATGTGTGTCTGGGATGTCAGGGTCATTTTGTGACAGTTTCCAGCTACTAACACACCTACAATTCCACTAAGACTTCTGGGGCATGGGTACTGGCCTAATCAGAAATACATCCTCATGTACTGAGTTCTGGGGACCAGAGGGACAGCCCTGCCCCCCTGCTGTTGAGAAAACACATCCTCTTTACCTGGCGAGCTTGTGAGGGCCGAGGTCCCAGTTGTCACTTGAGGTCCTGGCCTGGGAAAGTCCAGGTCACTGCACCTGGAACCCACTCAGCTATAAAGGAAGGCAGACGGTCTTGAGCCCCAGGGTGAGAACCAGGGGGTCGGCCAAGCCATTGCCTTGCAGTGTGGAATTGGGAATGGTGGGGCCCAGCGTCTGGCTTCAGGTTCGTTTGCTGGATGGTTGCTGTGCTTCCTCTCTCTTCCCTTGGGCTGTTTGTCCTCACTCCCCTGCCCTGCTGGCAAGCCGTTCCCTCATTGTGTTCCCTCAGCCTTCTGTTTCCTCCCAGGCATGGCTCCCTCCAGCTGTCTTCTCCTAACCACCACCGCCTCTTCCCCTCTTTCTATCCTTGGTCCTTCCCATCTGACCTTCCTCCCCTGTCCCACCTTCCAGCCCTTTCCCACAATCCCCAGCCCTGAGCATACCCATGATGCTCACGCTGCCAGCTCCCTGCTGCATCTTTGGTCTGGCACTCCTCCCTGGGCCTACGCAGCACATGGGTACTGGGCAGAGCAGACAGCACTCACCAGTGAGCTCCAGGAGCAGAGCAGCACCCAGAGCATGGGTGAGAGCTCCAGCACAGCAAACCACACAGGTTCCCAGAGCTTGGGCAGCTCAGCATAGAGCCCAGGTCTGGGCAGGAAGCTGGTGGAATCAGCAGAACCACCATCTGGTTATGTTCATACATGAACTCTCTAAAGGCCTCTCTGCTCTCCTCCTCCACTTTGACCAAGCTCAAGCATTGCAGGAGCATGATCCCCAGGCTTGCAGTCTTCGCCTACAAGGCAAGTGACTGTGTAGGAAGATCAGGGCTCTTTTTATTGGGCTCCTGGGGATGAGATTTTTAGGGCACTGTCCTGCTACATTCTTGGTCTTTTCTCTGTAACCAAAAGAGCTATAGGTGTGCTTTGCTGGGAACCTGGGGGCATGGCAGAAAGTGCAAGCTAGAAGAGAGCAAGGCAGCCTGTAGCCAGCAGCAGCCGCCACAGGGGTGATGAGGAGGAGTGTCACCTGGGTGGGAACCCGTGGGTTGCAAGTCAACCCCTTTACAGGCTGATTGCAGCCCACCCTCTGCCAGGTGGGGCTTTCAGGGCATGGGATTTGCAATGAGCTAGTTCAGTGCCTCCCTGCACCGGGTGTTTCTGCAGGGGAGACTCCCCCTCAACCCCAGTGCTGTCTGTGCTCTTTCTTTCCCCTTCTCACTAAACTCTCCTCTCTGTTTTCTTTGGTTTTCTTTCCTGCAGAAGCAAGACACCTTGAACCAAGTAAGAGACCTGGCTGCTGCTTGTCTCTGTGGTTTTGGTGTGTGTGGTTGGCTGTTAGCTCCTGCTTTGCATGCTGGCTTCTGCATGTTCAGCTGGGGGTGCTACTAGGGTAACCACATCCCACCCACCCCACATGTCCCTATGGCAAGCAGCTCCCCATAGAAGAAAGGGACAAATCCCAGGAGGACTGGTCTTATTAGGACCTAAACAGCAGAGAAACTCCCTTCATTGCTCCCTTCCATACAAGCAAGAGACAGCAAGTCAAACACCCAGGCTTCCCACCCACCCTCGGCCTTCTGCTGTTCACTAACATCTGAGCTCCCACAAAGAGTGGGAGGTGGTAAGGGGCCTTGTCACAGGCATGTCTCCCCCTGCCCTGGTGTCTGGGCAGTAGAGACAGACAGTTGTGCTCTTTCTCAGCCCAGGGGGTTTCAGTATGTCCCTGCCAGCCAAGAAATGGGGTCTGCATGTTCCACCACAAAACCCACTCTGGGCATCTTCCTAGTTGTGCAGTTTGGAAACTCTTGCCTAGAGTAATGTGGATAGTGATTTACAGAAGCAAGGTTATCTCCTGAGCTGCAGAGTGAAGTCACGCTGTGGAGAACAGAAGTCATTAAATATTTTAGCAGGGCTTTAGCTTTCCAGAAATATCCTTCTAAATGGGCGCAATTTCACTCCACTGTGACATGAGCTATTGGGTACCGTGCTCCCGTTAATGGAGATTTTCTTGCCTAGGTACCACAGGCACATCATAATGAAATGTTAAGTGGCAAATCGATTTGGGTAATTTATTTATATATAATTAAATGCAGAAAACTGAGTTAAAGTAGGACTGTGGCTGAGATTTAGTGAGAACAGAAGGCAGGAGCCTGGAGGAATTGATTTATGAGGAAAGATTAAAACAGCTTGGCTGAATGATGAGCCAGTGGGTCATGAGAAGAGACCAAGAAAAGGCCCTGATGCTCCAACTGGCTCCACGGAGTCGGACTCCTGTCTCTGCACGGAGCGCGCTGGGTTCAGTGGGGTTTCACGTGGCTGTGGGAGTCTGCCCTTGTGAGACTGAGGTCTTGCTCTGTGCTAGTTCAGTGTGGCAGTTGAAATCTGGCCTTCATTGCACTGCCTTTATCTTATTTATGCCTCTACTATTTCTGCCCCCATCTAGCTACCTTGAAAGGCTTCCCTTAGAAAGCAACCCTCAAAGTTGAGACCCAGGCTGAGAAATTTCAGTCCCTAGGGAAACCATCTGGGGGTGGGGGGTCTGTGCTCAGTACTCTCTGAACCAGCCCTGATGGAGCTACTTTTTACCTGAATCAGTGTGCAGCAAAACCCTCCGTGTAGTATCTTCAAAGGGACCATGGCACAGGGAAAGGCTTTGGAGTGGGAGGATTACACCCACTGCCTACAAAACAGGCATGGCAGGAACTGTGTCAAGGGCTTCTCTCTGTCAGGACCAGAGGGATACTGGGTAGTTAGCACTGGCTCCTTTTCCATGGTGCCAGCCACCCCAGTGTGCCAGTCTCCAGCTCCAAGAGTGGCCATGGGGAGAGGGAACCTGAATATTCCCCACATCCCCTCACCTTTTTCAGTATGACCAAGGAGAGGGATGGGGCCAAGGATTCTTCTTCTGAGGACAGGCGAGGCCTGTAGAGAGACGGGCGAAGACAGGGCACTTGTCCTGCCCCAGGAAGGGAAGGGCAGAGTGGGGTTGTTCTTCCCTGGCCCAGCTCAGACCCAGTGTAGCCAGCAGAGTCCTGGCATGATGGCAAAATGACCTTGCTGGGGTATATCTCAAGGAGGGTCTAGTCTTGCATTTCTGGCATGGACTAAAAAATCTGGGGATAGACAGAGCTAGGAAACAGTCAGCTCAGAGAGCATATTGCATGCTGGTGAGCAGAGACCTGTCTCCTGGGGTGAGTGGGAAAAATTGGGGGGGCATCAGTGGATCCAGGAAGGAGGTAAAGGGAGTATGGGGCCCCCCGCCCCTATGGCTGTGCCACACATGTCCAGTGAGCTCTGAACTCACTGCCTGGTCAGAGCAGGCTTCTGCTCAGTGTGGCCAGTGGTGTTGTTTGGAGTCAGGGCTGGCTAGAGCCCCTGCTCTTGCACAGCTCCAGAGCCTAGAGGTAAATGCTGCTGCTGTTCACCCTTCCTTGAATTGAGCAGCTGGGGAAAGTCAAGGAAGAGCAGTAGTATCCTGACCCTTAGGAAAGCAGGGGCTCTGGGCAGCCCCATGCTGAGAGCTCGCATGTGACACAGCCAAAGTGGAGCGTGTGACTGCTACCTTCACCTGGTGCTTTTCTGCTGGGATGCAGAGGAGAGTGAAAGCAGTTACACAGCCCTCGTCCCTTGTGAATCCTTGCTGTGCTGCCTAGCAAGGTGGCTGCCCCTGGATGCCTGGCATGTTACCCATCGCGGGGAGATTTTCAGAGTCAGAGGCTGAACACGGAGTTCGAAGTGGTCCTGTCCAACCACAGGAGTTGAAATCCTGGGGAAAAGAAGCAGCACGGAGCAGGTGCTGTCCACATGAGAAACCTCCCACAGCAGAGTGTGGAGAGGTTCCTATGAAACAGTGACACATGTTCTCAAAGCTCCTTTTGCTGCTTCCTGTCTGGGCCAGCAGTTCCCTGTTTTGCGTGCCCTTTGCAGAAGACACTTGCAAAGGCAGGAAAACCATTTTGTTCTTTCCTCGTCATTGCCTCAGGGGAAAGGCCATGTTTCTGCACAGGTCAAACATTGTGCAGAGGAGGCAAAGGGGTCTCTGTCCTTGCTGTGGGGGTCCCATGGGGAGGCAGGGCATTTCTAATGGCATCCTTTGCTTCTCCATAGCCCATCGACTATGAGGGCTTCTGGCTCTTCATGAAGACGTACCTGGAGGTGGATATCCCAGAGGAGCTTTGCCAGCACCTTTTCATGTCCTTCAAACGCAAGGTCTGCCAGTATTCCCCAGAGCCGCAGCAGCAAAGTTCTAGTGTGTCTCAGCTCAATGCACTCGGTGAGCAACATGTACCCTATTCCTGTGATATCCCCATCCCTACCTGCTCCCCACAGCAGCATCTGATGCAGTCACCAGCCATTCCCAACGCTGTTTGCAACCATGCAAGTGGTAGTTAACTGAATTAGATACAGAAGTTAGCATCCTTCACAGGTGGAACTGTCTGGCCAGTAACAGACAAGTCAGACTCAATGATCTTCAGTTCCCTTCAGGCCTTCAAACTCTCTGATTTATGCACTTTGTAGGTGTCTGTTTGTTCAGTGTGTTTGTCTAGCAGGCCCTGAATAGTACCGGGTGTGTGACCTTCATTCTCCAAATCCCTCTGATTCCCAATTTGATGTTTCAATAATGCAATCATCTGGCTGCCCTGACATATGCATGCACCTAAGAGGTTGTTAGAAATGAGGATTGGTTCATGAGGATGGGAAGGACGCATCTATTGACTGATTTTTTTTAACCTATTGGAATATGATGGTGAACCAGTTCTGTTGACCCACAGCCAGGGAGGGACATCCCAGCTGATGTGTCCAGGGTCTCTGTACCCTCAGGGTGGCCCTATACTCAGTCCGTAGCCAGAGAATCAGGGCACTCATTACAATTGATGTTCCTGGTAGATTTTCCATAACTTCTACATACAGTAGGTAGACAAAGCAAGAGCCCCTCTCTCTTGTTCTCCTCAGTTTCCAGGGCTTCCACAGGGCTAGGGAGTTTTCAATGTGAGCTTGAGTAGGTGGCTAATGTAGCTCTGGGGATGGTAGAAGAAGCTGTATCAAGAGGAAGACTGCCAGTATTTCCTGCATGGTCTGGACTCACCTGATTGCATCTGGAAAGTCATTCCATGGCTAGATCCCCACAGCAGAGACTGCCTTGTCCCTAGCCCCTACTTGCTTTATCCTGGGGTTGAGTGGGCTGCATTGTCTCAGAGGATTAGGGACTTATAAGTCTCTGCTGTAGTTGGCACCTGATCTATGAATGGCTTTGGAGGTCAGGACCAAAGTCGTCAGCTGGCAGGGGAAGCAGACTGTGGGCCAGTGGGAGGTTTGGAGCTTATGTTCAAAATGATCCTAGTAATCTGTGTCATGGAGAAGCTGTGCAGTCAGAGCTTACCCACTGGAGGCTCTGCATTGCTTTGACATCCAGCCTCAAAGATGCAAAGATGATTTCAAGGCGTCCCAGCATCCAGCATACCCACCTTCAGGCCCCACTAGGTATAATGTGGCTGTCAAGGATGAAGGACGTATGCAGCAGGCATCATCATGCAGATCCTGGTGGTGGTCCTGAGAGTGTGGCAACTACTGCTTATCACAGGGGACATAGTGTATGCCCCACACCCAGGCATGGGAACTGCATTCTGGTATAGTGGAAAGACTAGGTAGGCATAGTATTCAAAGTGCGTTCTGGCCATGTCCCCTCTGAACAGCTCCAGCAGTACCACACTTTTCAGGCCAGAAAATCTGGTTCCCAGGGCCACATTATTAGGTTTATTTTATATCTTCAGAGCAGAATAAAGTTAATGCTTAATGTACTAAAGGGAGGATCCTTCCACTTAAGCTGGTGTATATTTGATTGAAGAAAAGGTTCTTTCCCTCAGACTAACATCTTTCCTTCCTATATAGCTTTTCAATAAATGACATCACCAAAGAAACCTTTGGTTGTGGATTAATTCATATATCTATGACTGTGTGACTCTTCGAAGCAACTGAACTTTGGTACAAGTCCTTATGTGCAGCCTTTCACCAAGTGCTCTAGTTTTTCATTTTATTTTTTCCCAGGATGGGGGAGGTAGAGTGAAAGATGAGGGATGAGGCACTTCAGCTGTTTCTCATAATGTTCAAATGATTGAAGATGAATTCATTATATTTATTTATTTATTTATGTTGGTTGTTGTATGGATTCAGAGTCAAAGTCCATCGATACGGGCATCTCCATTCAGACCGAAGTGGCCTGCGCCCCTGTCACAGGTACCTGTTGTGTTTTTGTGACTAATTACACAATTTGTGGGATTCAGTGCATCTGAGAGAGGAAGTGTTTTTTAGAGAAGATGACCAAGTGATAAAAACAAACAAGATCTGTTCAGCTCAGGTTCCAACTTTGTCTCCCTTGTTTACCCTTTGTCTACCTTGTCATACTTTACAGCACACTGAGACATCTAGTGGCTGGATTATGTATTGCACAAAAACATCCATCACTCCAATTCATGCAAGGGACTGGTGTGTAAGGTTTGGTGCACAGGGCTGAAGGTCTTGCAGATTTGGGTACCTGTCTTGCAGTGCAGGGAAATGTAAAGCCAAAGATAGATGAGTACAGAAGAAGATAGGAAGGGTCATTTTTCCCAAACTGGCTAGATCTTTTCCTGACTGCTGGCAGTACAAGAAGAGGTTCTGGTTCACTTTTGGAGGCTGCAGGTCCAGCAGGGATTTTTATATGGTTGTGCAGATAGTCTTGTCAAGTTTGGAGTCAAACTGAAAATTAAAAAAAAAACAACTGGTTCAGTCCAAACTGAAATGATTTGGGTATATTTTTGGCCAAAACAATACACCCAAGCACTTCATTTGACCCAAATCAACATGCTTCATTTCCATTTCTGAGGACCCAAGGAAAGCAAGAGGCTAGACTGGCACCATTCAGAAAAGTGACAGTGACAGGAGCAGCAGCCACCATGTGCTTTAACTTGGTAGGCCAGTAGTGTGTTCATCTGGGATGTGGAAGACCCCAGTTCTGCTTCCTCTTTACTCTGAGGGGTTTGAACCTATATCTCCCACTTCCCAGAAGAGGACCCCTATGGGCTTTCCTAGGGTGTGTGGTTCTTATTCATTCCTATTGATGCTGTCCTGCTTTTGTATAAAACTCCTGAGTATTCATTGCGGTGGGGACTAGAACCAAGTGCCCCACTGCCCTGGTGAGTGTTGCGATGTCCATGCCCTGGGGTGAAAGGTAATGCCTCTCCCTCCCCCCTACCCCTTCTGTGTCTAGCTCACCTGTAGAGCTGGGGGTTGTGAATCTAACCTGTAACCCTTTTTTCTAACCCAGTTTATTTTGTGAGTTTGAGATAGGGATGGTGAGTTCTGGATAGGGCTGATCCCGCCTCAGGCAGGGGGTTGGACTAGATGTGACCTGTGGAGGTCCCTGCCAGGCACACTCCTCTGTAATTCTGTGATACCTGGAAATGGAGCCCAACTGTCTCTCAACTCAGCTGCCCTCAGGGATCTTCTCTGGCCCTGGGAAAAGCCAGTTCATGGGAAGGCTGACTCTCCTGTCTGAGCAGTGCCGCCTCCTGGCCAAGTGGCAGCATGGTAGAAAGACTTCTGTTCAAACACCTGAAGCCAAGCGGAAGTGGTGGCTGTCTAAACCCTGTTTGGTATAGAAGCCAGGGACCAGTTAGGCTAAAAAAAATCCCCCCAGGCAGATTTTCTGTCTCCCTGTCTAGCTCCTAATTGTTTATGGGAAATAACATGTTATTTCTGGGCCGTGGCAGGCATCCCACAGCATATCCAGGAGCATTCTCTCCCTGCAGGCTGTCCCAGGGTGACTGCAGAGTAGTTTAGAGGATGTCAGTCTCAGTGGTTGAACTCCATGGTTTTCCCTATTATGTTCTGTAGGATTTTTCCTTAATGGCCTCTCCGCTCCTGCCCAGCTGTCTTGGAGCAGCTGTTCTCCAGGTTGCCTCTTCTCTGCTCCTCCAGTATCTCAAAGGCACCAAGGCACCCTGCCCCTTTCGCTCTGCAGCAGTCCCTCTGGAAGTGGGGAGGGAGGCTTAGATAGGAGACCAAGGCACTGAAAGCCCAAGCTGCTTTGGCCAGTGTCCCAGGACAGCACAACAGGCTGCTGTCACTGCAGCCCTACCAGATCTCCTCTCAGCCATGCTCAGGAGGTGGCAGAGTTGGGAGCTGTAACTCAGAGACTGGGAGAAGCAATGGGCTGGGCTGTAGCCCTCTTATGTTTAGCACTCAGTCAGTGACTAGTCAGACGAATTCAAAGGGCAAAGACACGGAGTGAGGGACATTGCCCAAGACAGCTGTCCTGAGATGGGTTTCCAAAGCCCAGAGCTGCTGGGGCTCGGTGCTGTGTTTTGGCTTGCAGAGCTCTTCTGGGGGGGAGGTATCCTTCACAGCCTGCTCTCCACATTCATGTGTCTGCGTTGCAGGGATGAATGGGAAAACTCTCTTAAGTGCCTTGGGAAGACACACTCCGGAGTCCAGGAGCTCCCAAGCTAATCTGACAGACCAGCCACCAGCCACTCTGACCCCTGTGCCTATTGCCAACAACAGTGCCATTGGGAACGCCTCTCCCAGCTGGTCCAGGTCATCCTCTCAGAAATCCACTGCCGGCACCCCTTCTGCCCACAACTCCTCAGGGTCTTCAAAGATCTCCTCTGGGTCTCTGCTCAACCCACAATCTCCAGGTAAACTTTAGCCCACCTCTCTGTTGCCCTGCTCAGGCCTCACTGTCCATGGTTCTTCCTGACTTTTCACCAGTCCAGTCTTGGGTCATTTTGGCTACCATGTTTTGCTTTCTCCCATCACCTTCAAATAAAGGGGAACGATTGCAGTGACGTGAGGCTGTACCTGTTGTCGTGACTGCCCGGGGAAACTGGGATGTAGACTCTGTGAGGCTGGCATTGGAAAAGCTACATTTGGGGAGCATCAAAAGTACACCATTTTACACAGAGGCTGGAGATGAGCGTGTAAACTCCTTATCAGCATGGGTGGGACTGACTGGAGCACCCAGAGCTCTCTGGGGGTCTGGTCTCAGGGCCCTAGTGTTTGATATTCCTGCTGGCTTTTTAGACAGGGCCTGCATTTTTAAAAGCAAATGACCTGAGATAGCTGCACAGTCTGTTCATCCTCTGAGGGAACAGCAGTTACATTTCAAACACAGCAGGCTCCATACCATCTCATCACCTTCACTTGCGGCTCAGGACACAAATCCTGTCCTGCTGAGACACCGTCAGTCAATGTCTTAATTATCTGACAGCAGGGCTGCTGGGAGTGAGGGGATATTAAAGTGACTCACCATCGCCTCAAGTCGTGCTCATGCCAGCGATGAACACTGGAGGGGGGTGAGGTTTGGACATATCCCTAGATGCCAGATTGAACTATTTACTGAAGGGTAAAGCTCTGCTGTGCTAAGAGTGTGGGGCATGATGGTCTGTGCCCTGGCTTTGGAGTCACTGAGCATGCAAGCCAGCCAGCTGCCTCTTGCTTTCGTTTTAATTTCCTCAGTTATGTCCTGGGGTGAATGCAAACAGGAGTCTGACTGCACCAAGGGCAAACTTGGAGAGGGGAATGTCATGGGCAGTCCAGCCCCCTGGTGTCTGTGTGGGTTGCCAGAAAGGCTGTTTTACATCCTTAGGCCATTGATCCACTAGTGACTGAAAGTCATGCCACCCTCCAGCTTTGTGGTGTCCACTGGGAAAGGAGTTGAAACAGGTGTGTGCCTGTCATACTTGAAGCTGGGCAAAGCAGCATGGCTACAGGCTGAGCCAACCCAGACTTAGTCTAGCCTCTGAAGACTTCCCTTGGGCCAGAAGAAGGCTTGACCTGTTTGGGTTTTTTGTGCGTTTTGCTTTGCCCATATTTGCACTTCCCAGTTCTAGACTGGAACAGAAATGCCACAAGAGTGGAGGTTTCACCCATTGTTTCAGTCGTATCCGAGCACCGCTGTGCACACAACACATGACACCTTGGCCAGGGGTAGGTCACTCAGGGAAGAGCAGTAAGGGAGCAAACTGGCAATTGGGGGTGGTCATTAATTATCTCCTTTCCTCCCACAGGCACAAGGAGCTTGGAGAAGAGGTTACCTTTCAGCCTCCGAAAGACTCACAACTCTTTGAAAACGGCCAACGCACACCCGCCAGCCCCAGTGGCTCCTGTAGTGTACTTGAAGGACATTGTCTGTTACCTGTCGCTGCTGGAAAGGGGGCGGGCTGAGGATAAGCTGGAGTGTAAGTGCTTGTGGGCAGGAGAATGTTTCAGACTGAGGTGCCAGCGATGGTGGCTTGTCTGAGGTGGAGGGAGGGTGGGAGGCTGGGAGGACTGGTTGGCAATGGCTTCTTTTTATGGGTTAGTGAAAAGAGCAAGACAAGATAGGGGAGGGGGTGAGGGGTGGTCTTGTGTTCACAACTGATCTACCCATGTGACCCGAACAGTGCACCAGCCTCTCCTACAATGTAGACAGAGGGAAAATGCTGCAACGGAGATGAGAGTTTGGAAGAATTGGGACCCTTAAAAAAAAAAAGTAACATTGTCGCCCTCATTCCCCTCTCACTGACATACCTGTTACTGTCAAAGCCTTTCAGACAGGGGGTCAGGGCTCTTTGTTGATTAGCTCACTGACTGTGGCTGATATTGTGATGAAGGCGGCTGATAAGATGTCTTCTTGAAGACCCTTGTTGTGTTGATCTGGAATCACTAGGGCTGTAGTGTTTCAACTTTGAGAAACAGAGGTGTTTCCAGGAACTGATGTTGGCAGAAGTGTTCTGATTGCCGTGAGTTTTCATCACAAGTCAAGGACTCAAGGGTTGCACTGCAGTGTTTGGGGGTTGACTCTGCTCATTTAACCCCCAGCCATTGCTTCTTACTTAGCTTCCAATATGAAAACAGTCAAATGACCTGAACAGTTAGAAGCCCATGTAATTTTTTTTTCTTCTTCTAATGGTTTGTATTAATTATACAAAGCTCTTTATTGCCTTATAAAAGCAGAGTCTTGCAACTGAATATGCTCTTCTGAGGCATTTCTCCCCTAAATTGCCCTCATTCCTAAATATTCTGGGAACCAGAAAACCTCCCCTTCCCAAAATTTAACTCATCAGCTGACTCTACCCAGGTCATGCTAGCCAAGCAGGGAAGAATCTAGCATGTCACAAAAGAGCAATCCCAAAAGGAGACTGTAGTGAAGTGATGACTGTGCATTTATGTACGGCTGCCCCCCATCCAGATATAATCAGCCTTGCACCGCTGTCACAGGCTTTTCTCAGCTGACAGCTGACCATAAGTTCGTGTCTACACAGATAAGTTGACCTAGTATAATGGTGCTGGTATAACATGCTATGTAGACAGTCTTATCAGTCGTATGTACACACACATACACACACACACACACACCCCCCCCTCCCCCCCCCCCCCA